TAATTATATAAAATATATCATTTTTTTATATAATTATTTAAAATAAATTATTGATATTTATATTTTAATTATTTTTATTATAATATATATATATATACATATAAATATTTTTTTTTAAATAATATTTTTATTTTAATACTTTAAAAAAAATTATAATCTTTAATAATTTTATTTTAATTTATTTTTATGTAGGATATATTTTATTGCTTTATTTACTTATTTTTATATTTAATTTATTATATTATGTATAAATTTTATATGTTATTTATTTTAATTTAATTAATATAAATAAATATTTTTTTTATAATATAAGTTTTAATTTTTTTATTATTATATATATATTTATATTATTTACAAATTATTTTTAATATAAATCTTTTATTTTATAAAAAAATTAGCAATTTAAAATAAAAATTACTAAATATAAAAAATATCTTTAGAAATAAAATAATATTTTATATATAATAATTTTAAGAAAAAAAAAACTAGAATTAAGAATGGCAGATACCGCTCCCATATATGCAATATGTATTCTCAATCCCGATGGTGGTTCTGGAGTAAGTGGACTTGTTAAACTTGTTTAATAAGGAGATTAAGTAACCATAACTGCAACAGTAAATGGCTTAAAAACTGGTCTACATGGTTTTCATATTCATTAATTTGGAAATTTAACAGAAGGATGCAAAACTGCAGGCCCTCATTTTAATCCTTTCTAAAAAACTCACGGAGGTCCTCATGATGTCGAAAGACATGTAGGTGATTTAGGAAACATATAAGCTGTTGAAGGTCAATAGGCTCAATTTAGCATTGTTGATAAGCTTATTAAATTAGATGGAGCTAATTCTGTATTAGGAAGATCATTTGTTGTTCATGCTGATGAAGATGATTTGGGAAAAGGAGGTCATGATGATTCAAAAACTACTGGGCATGCTGGTGCTAGATTAGCTTGTGGAACCATTGGTCTTTCTGGACCTTTTTGATTATTTTATTTTTAAAAGAAAAATACATATTATAAATATATATGTGTTTTTATTTTATTTATTGCATTTGAAAAAGTAAGATATTATATTATTTTATGATATTTTTTTTAGTTAAGATATTATATTATAAAATATATACAATTAGAAGAAGTATATATATAACAAAAAAAACGAATTGTAATAATTTGAGTATTTAATAAAACAATATTATATAATATAATTTTATTTTTCCATTTTATTTATAAAATTATTATTTTGATGAAAAATCAAAAATCTTAATAAATTTTTATTTATAAAAAGCCTTTAGCTTAAATATTTTTTTAAACTTTATATTTTAAATTCGAAATTATTTATTTACAAAGTATAATATGTATAAATATTTATTAGAATTTAAACAATTTGCCTTAATAGAATTATATATTAAATATATTTTATTTATATTATTTATTTCTAGAACAAAATTAATTAAATATTGATTTCTTAAATAAATAATATACCGAAGTTTTTATCCATTTTTATTATTAATTTAAATATATAATATTTAACTAATATTTAAATATTTAATTTTTCTCTAAAATAAAACAAAAATTAAATAAATATACATAAAAATGAGTACAAACGAACTGAGAATATGTGGAAGATATAAATTAATTAACAGAATAGGAGTAGGCACGTTTGGATCAATTTACTTAGCAAAAAATGTATAAAATAACACATACGTTGCAATAAAAATGGAAGAATTAAAATCCATGCATCATTAAGTAAAATAATAATTAAATAAAAACAAGCTTAATCATACAAAAAATTAAGCTCTTATATGAAGGCAAAATATATTAAAGTTTACAAGGAGGGATTGGAATTCCAACAATGTATTGGTAGAATAGAAAATTTAATTTTTTTTCCAAATATTATAAAAAATAAATTTCGTTAAAAAAATATATAAAAATTTAATGAAAGGTGCGGACAAGAAGGTGATTACAATTTTCTTGTAATGGAATTATTAGGAAATAATTTAGAAGAATTATTTGTTCAATGCGGAAATAAATTTTCTTTAAAAACTGTTTTAATGATTGCAGATTTAATTCTTTCAGATTTGGAATATTTTCATTTTAAATCTTATATACATAGAGACATTAAACCAGAAAATTTTATATTAGGATAAGGAAAAAGAGCTAACTAAATTCTAATAATTGATTTCGGATTATCAAAAAAATATAGAGACCCAAAAACATTTGAACATATTTCTTTTAGAGATGGAAAAACATTAATTGGTAAAAAATAAAAAATATAATAAATATTTTTTTAAAGGTACCACAAGATATGCAAGTATTAATTGTCATAAAGGATATGAATAATCAAGAAGAGATGATTTAGAAAGTTTATGCTATATGCTAATTTATTTTTTGAAAGGAAAACTACCTTGGTAAGGCATTGATTTAGAAAATAAAGAAGAGAAATGTTAAAAAATAAAAGATTTAAAAATTAATTTAGGATATGGAAAATTATTAAAGGATATTCCTATTGAATTTAAAACATTTTTGAATTATTGTAAAAGTTTAAAATTTGAAGAAAAACCGGATTACTCATATTTAAGAAAAATCTTAAAAGAAAGATTTCTTAAAGAAGGGTTTTGCTTTGATTTTATTTACGATTGGACTCTTATTCCTATGAGAAATAAAATGCCTAATATTAATAAAAGTTTTCCTATTTAAATACCTCTTATTCCGGCAGAATAAGAGTTTTTAAATTAATATTAAGATTAAAATAAGTCCAAATAAAAAAAAAGAATTTCGATAAATTCAGAAGAATAATATGAAGAAGAAGAAGAGGACGAAGAAGATATAAAATAATAAAAATTGTAAATGCATTATTAATAATAATAATTATAAGAATAAAAATATAAATAATAATATTAATAATAATAATAATAATAATAAATATATTAGTAGAAAGTATAATAATAATAAAATATCATTTAATAAAATAAACCTAATAAATAAGAAAAGGAAGATTTAAATAAATAATTATATTAAAAATAAGTAGAAATTGAATATTAATAAAAAATTATAAAATAAATTGAATAATATACTAAAGAGCACAAAAAATAAAAGAAAAAAAAGATGATTGTTTAATATTTTGAAACTTAATAATTTTTACTTTCAAAATAATATATATATAAAATAAAAAAAAATTCTAAAATAATAAAAAGTAATATAAAAAATATATTATACATTTGTAAATTATAATCTTAGTTAAATTTAAAAAAAACTCATTGCTTTTAATCATTTAATATATTATTAGATTTAGTTTACAATTAATCTTATATTTATATCATTTTTTTGAATTCCTCCTTACTAATAGCATATTCATCAGTTAACATTCTTGCCAAACTTATGTAGCCAGTCATATCCCCACTTCTAACTAAATTTCCTTTATAAATTAAATATAATCTTTCTATAATAAAACAAAGTATACCTGCATCACAGTTTAAAGGTGAATTCGCATTTGGATTACTCATTAGTTATTATATTGCCCTACATAGAGATTCTAAAGTCCAACTTGGAGTCCATTAATCTTTGATAATATCAAGACTATTTATTTTTATAATTTTATAAATAAATTTAATTCTTTTTTTTAAATAATTTACCATATTTCACCTGTTTCCCAATGAATATTTGGATGAAAAATGCGTGTTTTGAAAATCATTTGTGGCGCCTATATAGGATAATTTTAGTTCAAATTTATTTTTATTTCAAATATTCCTTCTGAGTATGCAGAATCTTCTGGACCAAATACAAATGCTCTCCATTTGTATATATCTGATTCATCAAAAAGTAATATAAAATTATCTTTTTCTCTTATTTTTGAAGCTTCGCTTGCTTCTTTTAAAATTCTGCCTTTGTTCATTTTTTATTTTAAATATTTTTTTATTTAAATAAAAATATAAAACTAATATATTTTTATTGATTTCATATAAATATAAATTTTTGTATTAGAAAATTATTGTAATTTTTATTTAATACTAATATAATTTTATCAAAATATACATTATGCTATTTTACGAATTTAATTTTTATTAAATAAAATAATATAATGAAAAAAATCATTTTTTTTTAAATAATAAATAGAAATAATTGTAAGGAAATAATATAAATAAGGTTTAAAAATTTCCTAAATATTCTTAATACTCCATCAAAATTTTTAAGTTTACAATTTTTTTGTTAATGCTTAATATTTTTAAAATTAATATAATAAAATATATTATTATATAAACTACTTCTTGTCATCATTAAACTTTTTAAGGCATAATTACGTGTAACAGGATTTTCTCTATCATAATCCTAATTTTTTAATTTTAAATTAAAAAATATTTATATTTTTAAATTACAGAATCGAAGTATATTTCAACTTCTCTATAATTTTTCTATTCTGATTGAGAATTTGAAGGGAATAGCCAATCATTTAATTCTTGCATTGGCAAAATGCTTATTAATAAAGTGGCACAACATAAAATTAAATTTGAGAGTTCATAAGTACCAAATAGTTAATATTTAAAGAAGAAGTTTCCGAACTAAAATAAATGATATATAAATATTATAATAAGATTATTTAAAATATTACACAATGAAGAACAACACAATATTCAACCATTTCTATCATTTCAATAGTAAGACCTTTTCCAATACTTTCCTTTACAGTTCTTCTGTATATAAGATTATATTTATCAGTAATATAATAAAGAATAACTCCTAAAATTGACCAAACAGTAGCCATAGGAATAACAGGGCTATAGAAAAATGTAAACCACATAGTTTTCATTATATCAGCATATCTTTTACCCATAGCATAATCAGGATGCTCCATTAATCTAAAAAAAATAAAAAAATATTTTTTTAATTTCATAACGAATACATATTAGCTTATTTTTAAGTTAAAGTTGATTAATTTCCTTTTTTCAATTCTTTATTTCTTTTGAAATTTTTCCAAATACTCCAAGGGTCTATAATCCAAGCAAGAGCTGGTATAATAGCATTATTAATAAATACTAAATATTCTCCATATATCATTCCTCCTCCAATTCCATAATAATTTCTGAAAAAGATAATTTCAACAAAAAAGGTAATAAGCGCAGTATTAGTAAACAATGCAAGAGTTAGTTTTCTTGCAAAAGAAATATTTAAGTTAGTTTTTGTGAGCCATTTTTCATGATCGACAATCTAATGTATAGTGAAGGGTAAACAAAATTTATTAAAAATAACAATTAAAAACGATATTAAGAAAGAAATAGGATAAATAAAATATAAACGACTTGAGTTAACTTCATCCTTTTTATTTTTCTCTTAATGTTTAAGCTATTCTTCAAATAATTATTCATACGCCTCATCAATAAGTTTTGATTAGAGATAAGAGAGTAAAGCTATAACAGCAAAACAAACGCAAACGAGTAAAATGGTTAAAAGATTAGTACCTATTCTTGCAATTATTTTCTCTTTGGTAGAACAATGGGCAAATTCCCAATCTATTTCTGCAGGTTCAGGTGCTTATTATATATATAAATGACGATCTTTCAAATATAAAGCAGTATTATATTTTACTGATTATCCATTTTTAAAATAATTGATGAATCTTTTAAAAAAATTAATGCTATTATTTTCTAAAACTAAGTTTTTTTCTATAAATAAAAAATATATATTTAATTATTTTTTTAAGAAAATAATCATATTTATATACCTTGTTCAGTTTCAAAACTAATTATTGCTTGTCCAGTAAATTTACTAGCATTATGTTCAACTTCACGTTCCATTTTATGTAATTAATTATGTAATTCATGTATTTTATGGTCTAGTTCTAGTACTTCAGGATTAGTTAAGTCAAATTTTTAACTAAGAATTTTTTATTTATTTTTAACTATTTCGTCTATTTCTTCTTCGATTTCAATAATTTCTTTTATGTCATAAATGAGTACTATTTTTGAGACTCTAATATCTTATTTTGGGTTAGATTAATAAGTAAAAAGTCTTTTTAAAGTATCTTTAATATTAGGCATATCCTTTGGGATATTCTATACTAATACACTATAATCAGCAGGTGTGATATTATTTTCATCAACAATACAGTCCATATCTTTTTGCTACTTTCTGAAATAAATAGTCATTAGGATTTAACAAATCATAGCAATTAGAGACCAAACAGCAAAAGAAGAATTATTTGGCTCATCTATTATGTTTGCTATCGAATATTTTACTATACTATTAAATACGCAAAGCTCTTTGTAGTTCTCTTTGGGGTGCTTTTTTTGGTGATGGGCGTGTTCGAAAGCTTCTAAAGATGTGTAACGGCAAAAATTTCCTTTAACATTTTATATTATACTGGGAATTCCTTAGATTAAAAATAAAACTGTTAACATTGCTATACAATTCTTTAAATAATTATAGAAAAGAGGAAATCCAGAACCTAAAAAACCTAATTCTATTAAATCTACATTTAAACCAATCGCTTACCTTTACTTTTTTTATTTTTATTTATAATTTTTATTTTATTTATATAAACTAAATTTTATATATTTATTTTTAAAATTCAATTTTTAAATAAATATTATACTAAAATATTATATATATATATATATACTATTTCATATCCACAACATTAACATATGTCTTATATTAAATCTGATTTCAATTCTGGTTTCGTTTCCCTTGATTACTATTTTTTTGTTTAATTTAAAGCTATTTAATATTTTTTAATTATATAATTAAGTACAGCATGTATTTTTGCTAACTCCCAATTCGGAGGTATTCTCAAGAAATCATATTAGTGGCCTAAATTTAAATAAAATTTTATTTAGAATTAAAGTAAATTAATATTTTATATCGAAAAAAACCTTTTTCATGTTTTGGCTTTTATTTTCTTTTACAATCTTGTACTGAACTTGAATATAATTATACTTATGAATCTTACAAGCTTTATTTATTTTTGTTTTGTTAGTCTGCATGTAACTAATTAAATTATTCTTATTTTTATTAGTTTTATAAAAATTTTAGATTTTTTTTAAAAAATACGTCCTAAATTTGGTTAATAAAATATATTTTCTTTCATCAAAAGTTTTTATTTATTTTATGAAATGACTAAAATTACTTATATTATTTATAAAAATAAAAATAAAAATAGAAAATATTTAATTGAATTAATATTTTTTATTTTATTTAAAATAAATAAAAATGTATTAGCACATTAATTTTTTACAAACATTTATTTTACCTTATTTTATATTTTTTTATATTAGATTATAACAATTTATTCATTTATAATATTTAAAATTTATTCGAAAATTATAAATTTTTATTATTATATTATTTTATATAAAGAAAAATTCAAATTTAAATTATTAACATAAATATTTTTATTATCTTATGAAAACTAAATAAAAATATAAATAAAATATATTCCTATTATTTCTAAATATTACATATATAAATTTATTCAAATAATTTATTTTTTATTTGCAAAATTTACTAATAAATCAGCAAATTCTGAAAGTGAAATCTTTTAAAATTATTTTTAATATCAAAAAAAAAAAAAAAAACCATTCCATCGTTATTTTAATCACAATCTTTTAATAAATTATTCCAAACTTATTCTTTTAAAACTATTCCACCCATAATATCTTCTAACTCTTTTTTAGTTATTTATCCATTATTATCCTTTCGTTATATTAATATTTATAAAATATAAAATAAAAACTTAATCTATTAATTTAAAGGCTTATTCAATTCTATCTTTAGATTATAATTTTTCTTTTTATAAAGACGCTACTAAGAATTCTATATAAAAAATAATTTATATAAATAAAAAAAAAAGTATAAATTACCTGTAAATTCAACTTTTCCAGATCCATCTAGATCTAAATCTTTAAAAGAATCTTCCACAATTTATTAAGCTTTAATAAAATCACCGTTTAAAAAATTTGTATATCCTTTTAAAATATTTATAAATTTTTAATTAAAAAATACCTTAAATTAATTCTTCTCTAGATAACATACCATCTCCATTTGTATCTAAACTATCGAAATATTAAACCATTTATTCTTTTTCTTAAGTATTAATCACTTAATTTGCCATCAGTTATAATATAGCGGCTCTTAATTTGCTTTTGGCTTAAAATTAACACAATTTTTTCATTATTTTATCATCCAATTATTCGACATTTCTATTTTAAGAAATCCAAGGATGAGCATATGCTTCTGCTGCTGAAATTCTATTAATAGGATTATATTGCAACATTTTAGATATTAAATCTTTAGCTTCTTTTGAAATAAAATTCCAATCTTCAGCTATAATAATATATGTAAATAAATATATATACTATCAATAATATTTTTACAATAAAATTCATATTTTCCTTTTTTAACTTTTTCATATATTTCTTAATCACTATAACCAAAAAAAGGGGGATAACTAACAAATTTTTAAAATAAAAGAAAATATAAAAAATTATACCCACAAAGCATTATGTATAAAATAACTCCTAAAGACCAAACATCACATTTTTCATCATAAGGAGTTTTCGTTAAAATTTCAGGTGCAACATAAAAAGGCGTGCCAATTCTTTTAGTAAGCTTTTAATCAGGATTAAATTTAGTAGAAGCACCAAAATCAATAACTTTTAAATTACTGTTTGACTATTTTTTATCAAAAAGAATATTCTCAGGTTTTAAATCTCTATGGACTATTTTATGGAAATGACAATAAGATATTGCTGATAATATCTATTTCATATAATTTGCAGCTACTTTTTCTGTAAATGGACTAACGTCTTTAATTCTTTCAAAAAGTTCTCCACCTGTACAATATCTTTGTATAATTATAATTTAAAAATAAATATGTATATATATAAAAATATAAATATTTATATATTTAATTCTATATATATATATATATATATATATATATATATATATATTTATATATCTATATACATTTACATATATATATATAATTCTTACTCAGTAATTAAATAATGATTTTTATCATCTTCAAAATGTTCGAAAATTTTAATTATATATGGATTATCTATTTATTTAACAATATTTAATTCTTCAAATAATTAATCTTCTTATATTTTATTTAATTTTTCTTTTTTTATCATTTTCATTGCTCTTATAATACCTGTTGTTTTATGTGTTACTAAACATACAATTCCAAAACCTCCTGTATATATATTTTTTTTTTTATTATTAAAATAATAAAAAACCTTCTCCTAAAACTTTTCCTAATTAATAAAATTCAAGTATATTTTAATTGTTCTAACGAACCATTCCTTTTTAAATTTTATAATCGTCATTATTTTTTGTTTTTTAATTCTAATTAATATTTATTTAATTAATAAAAATTATTCCTTTGTTATTTTTATTATTTTTATAACTTCAAGTTATTTTTTTATAAAATTACAGAATTATTCTTCTAAAATTCTTAATTTTCATTTTATGTGTTTTAAGATTATAATTTTTATTCTATTTATTTTTATGAAATGTTTTTTTACATATTAGCTAATTCTTAGTTTTCTGTATTAATTTTTCACTTTTTTATATCTTAATATTAAATATAAATGAATACCTTAATATTTTATTCCTATTCTATGTCATTTGTTTAAGATTAACAACAACCCATTATATGTTATTTTAATATTTTAATTAGAATAAAATACTGAAATCTATATATTATTTTTCTGAATTATATTTTTTGATTATAAATTAAGCAAAAAAAAGTTATTTATTTTATGAATTAATATATAATAAATATTAAAAACATAAATATTTATAAAAATTATATGTTAATAAATTATAGTTTGATATTATTTTATTTGATAAAATAATATTAATTCCATAAATAACTGTTTTTAAAATAAGAAATAAATATTTTATAAAATATCTTTAATAATAACTATTATTTTAATTTGTGTAAAATATTTTTTTAAAAAAAATATTATTTATATTTAAATAATTTATAAAATAATTAATTAAAAACATAAATATTTATAAAAATTATATGTTAATAAATTATAGTTTGATATTATTTTTATTTGATAAAATAAATATTAATTCCATAAATAACTGTTTTTAAAATAAGAAATAAATATTTTATAAAATATCAATAATAATAACTATTATTTTAATTTGTGTAAAATATTTTTTTAAAAAAAATATTATTTATATTTAAATAATTTAGTTAAAATAATTAATTAAAAACTTTTCTAAAATTAATTGATTCAATTTATTTAAATTAAGAAATTATATTATTTAATATGACAAAAAATATTAAGTTTTTAATAAAATTGTTATTATTTATAATAAAAATAAATATACAACAAAAAGAAAAAAGAAAAACAATAAGAATTAACACTTAATAAAATATAAATATTTTAAAATATTAAATCATATATTATATTTAATAATAATAAATAAAAAATATTTTAAACATGTAATTTTAATAAAGATATTTTAAAAGAAAATAAAACTGATTTAATATAATAAAATATTAAATTTAAGATTTAAAACTGGAAAACAAGGTTTTTATATCTAATAAATAGGTGATTTTTAAAAACGGTGTGTATGTATCTGCAACAGCACCTCAGTTTGACCTTTTAAAAAAGACCATATAGCTTAATAAGATTAAGTAAGACATACAAAATATTTAAGAAATTTAACTGTTGAGAAAGTTAAGTCACAAAATTTTACACTGAAAATAGATTATTTACTTTATAATTGAGAAAATCAATTTATTTTGGGAAAAGTTTTTGTCGCAAATGCAGATCCATATAATTTTGAAAGTGCAGAGTTTGTCGATTCTAAAACTAAATGACATATAGGGATTATATTAACCAGTTTTACTGTTGGCTTATCTGATTAATTTAATATTTGATAACTTAAATAAATATTCAAATAATATTTTTTATATCTTTTATTTTTTATAAAATTTAATTTTATTTTATTTGCAAGTTTTAATTATTCTTTACTATATTTTGTTTATTATTAATTTTTTTTAAATTTAATCAAATATTAAAACAATTTTATATAGATTATATAAATATATTTATAGATTTTAATATCTATAATTTTAATTTACGCATATTAAAAATATTTTTTGTTTTGTTTATCATTCATTTTCATATTCATTTAGACCTTACTCTTTGAAATAATTAAAGTCATCATCATTATTATCTTTTCTTTTACTCTCACAAGAGTCATCATCCTCTTCTTCATATTCTTCTTCATTTAATTTTTTACCTTCATTTTGTTATTATTTAATGTTATTTTTCTTTTTTTCTTCAATAACTTCAAAGAGTACTTTATTATTAAACTAATTATGTTTATTTCTAATATTTTATGCAAAATCATCAGAATCATCAAACTTTTTTTCATCTTATTAGCAATTATCTGAACTATTTTAATCTTTAAATTAATAAAATTTACTCACTTTTGATTTCTAATTTTATTATGAATATTCTGTTTATTAATTTTCTTATTTATCTTAAGAAACTTATTCTAAATTAGGAAAAGCCATCATATTCCAATGCAGTTATTCTTCTTTTTAATATCTTTTTGGACTTTACTTTTTTTTTTTAAAAAAAAAAAAATTATTTTTTTTAATAAAAAAAATACAAAGCTGTTTTATTAAAAAAGATACACATCATCATCTTCGTTATCAAATTCGAATTTTAGTTTATAAATTTCATTTAATTTTTAGTTTTTTTATTTGCCATTTTCTTCATCTATAGTTGTACCACCAAATAAATATATTCTGTTTTTTGTTCAATAATAAAGTATAAAAAAATATTAAAAATACTCATTTTCTTAAGTATTTATTGATGTATGAAACATAAATGGTGGTATTTATTGACTTACTTATTCAAGCTCAGTCCAAAAATCTTATTAATAATCATATATAACAATTTAATTTGTAATTTATTAATTTTTTAACATTCCTCCAATATATACTAATTTGCTTTTAATTTTATTCACAGTATGAAAAGCTCTAGATTATGGATAAAATTAATTTTCTTTTTAAAAAATTTTTCGCCAAAAAAAAGTTTTCAAATCAAGTTAATAAGAATCGTTTACTAATTTATTATATCCATGAATTCCTTATATATATACATATATATGTATATACATATATATATATATATTTATATTTATATTTTTTCTTTATATTTTACCTCCAAAAATTATTAAACTATAAGGATTTTATAAAAAAATACATGTATGACCTCTTCTTCCTGAAGGTATATCTCCGAAAGTTTTTACTTTATGCCAATTCCATTCTTTTCATTTTATTTTTAATAAAATTAATTTAAGCTAAAAAAATACTAGAATCTAAAGTCCATAAAAAGTTATATTCGTTACATCCGAACTAAAATTTAAAAGAATCCCATCCGCCAAACAAAACGACTTAATTCTTAGTATAATCATAAACTAAAGTATGATCTCTAACGCCTGGCGGACATAATTAATTAGGTTATTATAATTTTTTAATTTAAATTTCGTGCTAATCAGCATTTGATAAACCCAAATCATTATCAACATTTTATTTTTTTTAAGGGGAATCTTATTACATGAAAAGTTTTCCTTCTAAAGTAGATTTAGTATTTTTTTAATGTCCTATATCTAAACTTTGCACATTTTCAGAATAATTACTTTGACGGACTTAATTAGTCTGTATATTTATAACAATTATTTAATTTGTATATTTGCTTCCGTCCCAACCACCAAACATCATTACATTATTATTACAATGATCAAATGGAAAGTGCAGAGATTAATGCCCTACAAATCTTAAACTATCAGGATTTTTTAATTATATTTTTACTTTTTCCCATTTTTTTTCTTCTGTTTTATTTAGATTTATTTTAATTTTTATGTAAATTTAAATTAATATTTTTTCTTTTTATCAATATTATTACTTAAATTAAATGTATATGCATCATTATATTCAGACTTTTTGTCATAACCACCATGAATAAATGCAAGGCCTCTACTTTAAATAAATGATGATACATGATTATTTCTTGGAGCTGGAATATATCCTTTTTTTAATTTATTTTTAAATTTATATTTTAATTTTTATCACCTGTTGCTAATATTTTTTAAAATGACATTTATACATCTGTATCAATATAGTTTTTGCTCATTTTTTTTTTTAATTATTTTTAAGATATAGTATTACCAATTTTTATTTAGTTTAAATTAAAATATAAATTATTTTAATTATAAAAATATTGATAAAACACTTAGTATATTTTAAAATTTTAACTATACTTTAATTTTATATGTTTTTGATTAATATTGTTTATTAAATATAAATTCTAATTTATTTTTAAATGTATATATTAAGTTTTTATAGCTATTTATTATAGTTTAATAATAAATATTATTTAAAATTTAAATTATTAAGTTTTTATAATTAAATAATATATAATTAAATATATTAATATATTAATATTAAATTATAAATATTAATTATAAAATTTATTTTAATATTATAAATGTTTTATATTATCTATTTTAAAATTTTTATTTATTATAAATATATTATTAAATTCATTTAAAACAAATAATTACATAAACTTAATCTTATAATTTCTACATTTTAAATATAATTTTTTTTATTTATTAATTATTAAATAAATAATTAATTATTTTAATAAATGAATATAATTTTTAAATATAATTTAGATATTCAAAATAATTATTTTTATGTAAATTATATTGAATTTAGTAAATTTTTAAAATTAAAACATAATTTGATGATATCGAATATAAAATACTTAATTATTTTTTGTATTTTAGTTTTCATATTTATTTTTAAAATAAAAAAGAATTATATTTTATAAAAATTAAAAACTAATTTGATTTGTATATTTTTTTTTATTTTTAAAAATAATTATACTGTAATTAATTTTAGAATAAAAAGTTAATTTTAAATTTATTATTAAAAAAAGTTAAATATAAAAGATATATTTTTATTAAAAATAATATTTTTAAAAAAATGATTCGATTATAAAGGCAAGCAAAAAGTTTTTTAAGAATATAAGAATTAGCTTAGCAAATAAATAAACAATCTTTTTCAAAATCACTAAATCCGGAATAATAAATAAATTAATTTATTTCATAACATTTTAATATTCCTCATCCCGAAAAAGTTCATAAAGGAGGTGAAGATGCTTATTTTTGCAACAGTCAATTGTGTTGTGTTGCTGATGGAGTAGGTGGTTGGGCTGAATATGGAATAGACCCAGGTCTTTATAGTAAAGAATTGGTAAGAAATATTTAATAAAATTTTAACTAAAATAAGAATCTTTACTTAAAAAATCCTAAATAATTAATTATTGATTCGCATAAAATCACAAAAGCTCAAGGTTCTACAACATGTTCCATATTAACATTAGATGAAAATAAACCAATATTATATTCTAGTTATATAGGGGATAGTGGATATATAATTTATAGGAAAGAAAATGAATAAATAAATCCCATTTTTGTGAGCAAAGAATAGACTAAATCATTTAATTTTCCATATTAAATTGGGTCTGAGGGAGATGATCCGATTTAATCGTTGATTTTTTAACATTAGGTTAAAGATAATGATTTAATTGTTCAAGGTACTGATGGAATATTTGATAATATTAATGAAGAATAGATTTTAGGGTGTATTAAACCTTTTTGGGAAAATAATGAAATTATTAATGACATTAAAATGCTTGCTGAAATTATTGCTAAATATGCTTTCAGACTTTCTTTAGATCCAGCTTACAATTCACCTTTTGCAAAAAGAGCGATGGAAAATAAACTTAGGTTTAAAGGAGGAAAATCTGATGATATTACAGTTGTAGTTGCATAAATTAGAATTAATAATAATAAAAATAATTGAATATTCATTTTAATTAAATATTTTTTGTATTTATTTATATTTTTTAAAAAATTTATGATGATTATTTTTTAAAAATAATTAATTTTTTGATAATATTTATATGATTTTTAATTTTTTATAATTATTTGAATTTAAATCAATATTTAATTTAAATAATAAAACATATATTATTCTATTTAATTACTTATAAAAATATAATATTTTAAAAATCAAAAAATTATAATAATAATAAAAGTAAAATAATAAAAATATATATATATATTTATAATATTCACATTTTTTTTTAGCATAATTAACTAATTCTTATTGCATTTTATTTTAATTACAAAAGTTATAATCAACAACTGCTGACTATTGTTTCATATTAACTTTAAAGTTTTACATCATTTTGCACTTACCATTTAAATTATAAATAGATTTTTCTGAATTTTTCTAGCATTCTATCAAATCATTTTTAATTTAAGAAAGCTTTGATATATTATTCGGATGCGAAACCTTTATTTTTTCAATAATATTTTATAAAATGGCCTTTCCCTAATCATATTATTATTTTTCTGCACAAAATATTGCACTTTAGATTGCTTCTGCGGCATTAACCCTTAAATAATTAAACTCCACATTTTGGTTAATTTCAGAATCTTCGTAAATTTTTTCATTTTCTAAAAATAAGGTTAAAACTAAATTACATTATTTATTTACAGAAGTAGTATATTAGGGATTTACAGGTATAGCAGTTACATTAGCCTTTATAAGTTCAACATTTCTTTCGAAATCTTATAAACTTTAAATTAATAAAGGAGGAATAGTGACTTCGAAAATGAAATCTTTGGTAATTCCTGATAATAGTTAATTAATATTGATTTAGAAATGTGAATTTTAGTTAACGCATTTAAACATATTTCCATAAGTTTTAGATATTTAACATTATTTGAAGCGTTTTTGGAAATTAGCATCTTATATATTAAGACTAAAATCAATTTAAATATCTTAAGCTACAACTGAAAAAATACCACCTAAAGCATCCACAAAGAATTCATTAACTTGGTCTATTTTTTCTACGTAATAAAAGTTTCCATCTTTTAAATCACATATATTGTTCATTAAAGTAGAATCATGATCATCTCCAAATCCGAAACAATGAATAGTCAAGCAATCATTGGGTAAATTAGTTTTTATTTTTTGTAAGCTAGGTGGGTCTTAACCATCTGAAAGTAAAAAAATGGAACTTATAGGATTTTATTAATTTCTATCTTTTAAAACTTTAAATGCTTATTGCATTCCTGAATATATATTGGTACCTCCTGTACTATATATTCCATCAATTACCTGTAATAAATTCTATTTATTTTAAGGGGTCATTTTCGTCAATTTACATAATCTTTCGGAATAAAAATTAAATAAAATAAGGGAAATTCGATCATTATCATTCATTAATTCTAGTAAAAGGCGAAGTGTTTATTTTACATTTTCTATTTTTTAACCTTACATTGATCCTGAATTATCTATTACACAAATTAAATCGATATTAGGTCTATCTTCGAAAGGGTTTTTATCTAATTCTTCATCTGTTTTAAGTTCTTTAGGTTAAGTATCGTCTAAAGTTTTTATAGAAAGTAAAATAGGAATTACTTGAGAAAATTAAGAATTGAACTAGATATATTTATTTAACGATTTCATTTCTAGGTTTATCCCTTTTTCGAGATCATAAGCTTTATTATGAAACTTAACATTTTGGTTTTGATTTATTTAGATTTAGTCATCATCATTATATTTTTAAATTAATAATTATTATTTAATTTATATATTTTATAGTAATGATATTTATTATTATGGTCTTTATTATACATTTTATTATTAGGGAATTTGTAATTATTAGATTTATTAAATTTAAGGAAATTTTTGTGAAGTTTAAACTTTTTTTTACTTTTGATTAATTTTGTATTATTTAGGTGACTTATTGAATTGGTAATCGTTTTTAAACAAGGGACTTGCTTTAAGTTAGTTAGAGAGTCACTTATTAGTGTTTAATTGTTTTAGAAACTACTTTTTCTATTTTAAAGAAAGTTATTAATCCATTTTTATTTTCTATTTTTTATATTTTCTATTTTTTTTAATTAATTCAATTTTTTTTTTATACCAGTATATATAAAAAATAAAGATCTATTAATATATTTTTTCTGATAAAATATTATAAATATAATATATTTTCTCTATTATAATTAATTAGTTATTTATAAAATATATTTAATATTATATTTTATAATTTCAATTTTCTTTATACAAATAAATTATAATTTTACATTTTTATATAACCAAGCAATATTAATTTTTATTAAATAATATTATTTTCATTAAGTATATAAAAATTATTTATAAACAATAGATACATAAATATATTCACTTTATTTATATAAAACTAATAATTTAATTTTTTTGAATTTATAGAAGTAAAATATTCATTAATTAGCAAATAATTTAAAAATATGCAATTAACGAAATTAATAATTTTGTATATATATATTTAATTTTTTTTAAAAAATAAATATTAAAATATATAAATAATTATTTTTAACATTTTTAAATTTTAATATCTATTTTAGAAAAAAATGAAACTTTATATTTTATTAAATTCATAAATTATTTAATTATTCTATTTTTCAAAATAATAAATTAGTTTTTTTTACTTAAACTTAGTTTTCATTTAATTTTAATTTCAATATATTATAGTAAATAGTTTTAATTATATAAAAAAATTAAAATCCGATTTTGAGTAAATACAAAATTAAAAAAAAATAATAATATATTTATTACATCAAAAAAAAAATTATTTTAACATGAATTATGATTATAATTTATGATAATAGAATCTAAAATAATAAAAATTAGTATTTTTATTAAGTTTATTTTTTAATTTTATTCTTATGTTTAGATTTGTAATAAAATGTGTAATAAATTATATTTCTAATGGCCTTTAATAAGTTTTTTTAATGAATTTAATTCATAATATATTAAATAAATATATAAAAATATATGCAAAATAAAAGTATATAGAATATATACTTTTTAAAAATATTTTATTTAATCAATAATAAAAAAACAAAGGCAAAATATTAAATAATTTATGACCAGAAAAATATGTAAAAAATAATATAAATAATAAAATATTGTTATCTATAAAAATAAAATAAATAAAAGAATATAATTGTTTATATGTTTTAATATTAAATAACAATGATTTAAATAAATTAATTATATATATGATTTTATTTTAAATTAAAAAAAAAAAATATAAATAAAAATATAATAATTATTTTAAATCATATTAAATTTTTTATTAAAATATCTTATTTGATATACAATTTTTTTAAAAATATGGATTTGTAACTATAATAATTAATAAAAGAAAAATAAAAAATAAATGATTAAATACAAACTTTAGTAAAAGTTTAGTTTGAAAAATACCAAGGAATGAGTGAAGAAGTAAAAGACGACAATCCATATAGGTTATATATATATATATATATATATATATATATATATATATTTAAATATATTTTTTTATATTTCTATATATATATTTATATATATAATTATGCATATATATATACATATTTTTAAAGTCGTCTAATGGCTCTTAAAAGAATGGGTATTGTTCAAAATTATGAAAAAATAAGAGACTGTTCAGTTTTAATTGTAGGTGTAGGAGGAGTAGGTTCTGTTGTAGCTGAAATGTTAACGCGTAGTGGAATAGGAAAACTTGTGATTTATGATTACGATAAAGTTGAACTTGCAAATATGAATAGACTATTCTATACTCCTCATTAAGTCGGCCTTTCTAAAGTACAAGCTGCAAAAGAAACTCTTTTAAGTATTAATCCTGAAATCGAAATAGATGCATTTAATATGAATATTACATCTTCGTGTAAAAATTTTTAAATTTTAAAAATCATATATTAAAAAAGCTGGTTTTGATCATTTATTTGATAGAATTTAAAAAGGTGGTAAAAATGAAAGTAGAATAAATTTAGTATTGTCTTGTGTTGATAATTATTCCGCTAGGATGACAATAAATACGGCATGTAATGAATTAGATTAAATTTGGTTTGAAAGTGGAGTTTCTGAAGATGCTATGAGTGCTCATATTTAAGCTATGATTCCTGGAGAAACAGCTTGTTTTGCATGTGCAAGCCCTATAGCCGTTATTGAATAAGATGAGTAAAATATAAAAAGAGAAGGTGTCTGTGCTGCAAGTTTACCTACTACTATGGGTATTACGGCTGGTTTTTTGGCACAAAATACTTTGAAGTTTTTATTAGATTTCGGAGATTTAACCTTTTTGTTAGGGTATAATGCTAAAAGCGATTTTTTTTAAAATTATGTTATAAAACCGAATGAAGATTGCAAAGAAGCGGCTTGTTAGAAAAGATAAAAAGAAAAAAAAGGAAGTAAAGGGTTTTTGGGTTTAATTGAAGAAAAAAAATAAAAAATAAAAGATGAGTAATCTAAATAGTTTTAAAATTTGGAAAACAAGTGGGGAATTGAGAATGTTGAAGAAGGAAATTAGGTTATTTCCTCATAATTTTAGGAAGTTTAAGAAGAAGAATAAAGTAAATTAGAAGATACTAATTTAGAAGATCTTATGGCAAAATTAAAATAATTGTGATTTTTTTTAAATAAAATTATTATGTAATTTTATTTTATTAAAATTTATTTTTATAACTAGTTCAATGTATTTAATTTTATAATAATACAATTGCTTTTTAATATGAATATATTATTCATAATATTTATTTGTAATTAAACCTAGATATTTTTTTTTGTTAAGTTTGTATTTTTTATTAAATATTTTTGTTTGTTCTTAACTTTTTCAAACCATAAGTTTAATTATTTTTTAAATAAAAAAATATCGACTTTAGATTTTTTTAAATATATCATAAATAAAATCTTGATTTGTTAGAGATTAAAAACTTAAATCAATTTAAATTTAAATAAAAGTAATATTTTATTTATTAGAATCAGAATTTATAATATAATATAATACATTTAAAGTACTTGTTTTAGTTATTTCTTCATTATTTTAGGAACTTTTTTTAGAATTATATGGACAACTAAAAGAGGTTTTTTTCCTAATTATTTAATTGTTATTTTTTTGATTTGAATATTTTAAAATTATTATTTGAGCTGTGATTAATACTTTTATTCATTCAGAATATTTGTAATATGTTAGAAAATTTATTTTAGTTAAATTAAAAAAATTATTAGAAATATTATATTCATAATTTTATTTTAAAATATTTTGTTTATATATACTATTAAATTGTCATCTAGAAAATATTCTGTAATTTATATAAAATTATTGTTAAATATGTAAATAGTTTATACGGTTTTATTATGTTTAATTTTAATTATTTACTTTTTTCATTTTTTCGATTTCTAAGATTATCTAAGATTAATATTAATCATTTTAATTTTAATTTATTATATTATTTATTAAAACTTAGTTACTAATTTTATGTTTAAATTTAAAAATGAAAAAACTTTTATTTTTTAATATATTAAAAAATAAATTCTCTTAATTATGAAAAAAAAATTATTACAAATTATTAAATATTTCTAATTTTTTTTTATGTTTAATTAAAAAAAAATTAAATTTTATTTTTTAAATTTAGAATATTATATTTCTTAAGGTTTATCTGATAATCTAAGTGTCTTTTTTTAATTAAAAATATTATTTCTTTGCTTTTTTATATTTAATCTTCTTTATTTTTTGTATTTTAATAATATTTAATTCAATAAATAAGCCAATTTTTAATTTCATTTTTTTAAAAAATTATTAGAATTTTTTTTTTTCTAAATTAATTCTCTTTAATTATTTTAAATAATTTATTTAATAAAATCAGATTTTTTTTATGTAAAATGAAATTCTTAAAAGGTATAAATCAAAATTTTGTATAAATAATTAGAAAAAATTAATAAATAAAAAATTTTTAGATATTTACTCCATGATTATATTTTATTAATTTTATATTTTGAAATTATTAAAGTTTTTTTATTAAGAATATTCTTGAAAATTTAACACTAATCTATATTTAATTTAATTTCTTATAATTAAGTAATTGAATTTTAAAATTTAATTATTTTTATATATTATTAAACATTAATAAATAAGTTTTTTTACAATTTTATAATACTTATTATAATTAAAATTTATTTATATTTTTTTTTTTAATCCTGAATATACTATTTTGATATAATATCAAATCAGTTTGTTTTTTTCTAAAAATTAATTTTTAAAATTAAAAATATGGATATTCATTCTAGTTAATTGTGATATAAATTTTGCTTCTTTAAATTTCCATTCATTTAAAAATTATTTTAATAAATATTAATTCGAAATTTCGAAAATATTTGAATCATTTTTTTATTTAATATATTATAAAATATTAGCTATTTTATAGTTTTTTATAGTTATTTTTATTAAATAGTATTTAGTTATTTATTATTAAATTATTTAATAAGACTTAAATATAATAAAAGGATTGTCTAATAATTTTTTATATTTATTTTAAGATTTAATTAAAAAATAAATTAGGAATTATTAATCTTTAAATATATTCTCTAAAAAATTATAAAAGATAATTAGAACAAATATCTGCTAAAATAAAAAAATATTATAAAACAAATTTATTATTTCTTATTAATTTTTATAATTATATAAAAGAATATTTTTTAATTTTTAATATAAATATTTTATTTATTCAAAAAAAAAAAATGAATATTTTTTTAAAACATAGTTAAAGCTTATAAAAAATAATGAAATATAAATTGATTTAAAAAGTTTCTTTAGACTAAAATATTAATTTATATATAGTATATTATTTTATATAGAATATAAGAAATTATCAATTATTTTATCTGTCTTCTTTCATAAATATAAATGTAAAAATTAAAATTAAACAATTTAGCAAAAATAGATTATTTATTCTAATATATTATAAAAATTATAAGATACATATATCAAATTAATAAAAAAAAAAACTTTAAATTATTTCATAAAATTTTAAAAATCATTAATTTAATATTAAATATGATGACTAAAATAAATATTTTATAAAAAAATATATATATATATATATAT